GAAACAGATCTGTGAAGTCTGTACTACTTTGTGACATGTGTACTTGGACATGGCACCTAGTTAAAAACATGCTAAAGGCTGTTCTGTACTTGGGCCTACAAGGAAGGAAAACAAACATGTACAAATGGCATGGACTGCAACCAGAGGCATGCACTTCAGCAAAGAGACTTACAAAGGGACCCTCATTTCGTGAATTACCCGAGTGGTTGTTGCCGTGCATTGGAAACAGAGTTTTCGGACGGAGGGCTGCGTCTGAAAATCGAAGTCCCACCGGCCCAGGAGAACGTAGTCTTGGATGGCCAACTCTGCTGCAAGCTCGCCGACTTCGGTGCTGGACGTTTGGGTCCCTCTTCTGGGACCTTCTCCTTTGGGCATCCGGCAGGCTCGCTGTGGGCGGCCTTCATGGGCTTTGATATCGTCTGTTATACCTACCACCTGTTACGGTGGGCATCACCAGCATCATGATCCCCATCTAGCATCATCACTGCCACCACCTACCGCATTCTTATCCTTGCAACCCCTGTTATCACCAAACTCGCCGTGCTCTTGGCCATGTTCCAACAGTTTTGTAGGTGGCATTCGGTGTCCCCGTGACTCTTCGGGTGAGCTGAGCATGCGCATGTCCTTGCAAGGTAGCCCTGGCTACATTGCGCCGGAGGTCCTTGGCCCGATCCTGAGCTCCGACCTTCCCAAGACCCGAAGCCCAATTTCCAAGCCTCGATCTCGATATGCAGATGCCGAGCGATGTCTTGGGCTGCATGTTGGAGAGGCCCTTCAACTCCAAACAGCTTCGGATGCCTAGGCGGGATGCCACACGATGAGGGTGCTGACCTCTACTCGCTGGGAGTGCCTCGGCCCGGGCTGGGGCATGCGCTGCTCTGGGGTTTGGATGTTGTCCTTAGGGCTTTAGGGTTTTAGGGATTTAGAGGTTTAGGGTTTAAGGGCTTTATGTCCCGGAACAGCACCCGGCAATCTCAAGGTGCTGGCGTGGCTGCTTTTCACTGGCGGGATGCCAAACGAGGCCTCCTGAAGCTCCCGAGCGAGTCCTCAATTCAAGGAGTTTAAGGGCCTCCTAAACCCTAAACCCTAGCGGTTTTGAGGGTTTGTGGGGGTTGTGGGTGGGGGGGGGTTTTCTGTCCATGGCAGAGCCTTCGTTTTGGTGCCAGGTGCCACCCATGGCAGGCCGAAGCGAGTGGCAGGTGCGCTGCGTGCTGCTTCTTATGTGGTCGATCCGACCTATCATGTTAGGCTCTAGGGGTTTAGGGTTTAGAGTTTATCATGTAAGCCTTGCTTAATCACCGGCCAGGCGGTGCGATCGGGTAGAGAAGACAAGACAGTGCCGAGAGTTCCTGCTCCGTGCTCTCTCCCCGCAGTCTTGCTGCATGTTTGTCAAAGCGCGGAGGCACACCTCTATGACTGGACATTGTTGGACCGCTGCATTCGCGACAACTTTCCTCCATTCCAAGGCGGGCGGTCGGTGCTTAATTAGCTTTGGGACTGCCCTAACCCACCTACTATATAGGGTCCTAGAGGCTCTAGTACCCTCTAATAGTAGGTACCTGGATGGTTAAGGCTGTTGTTGCTAAATTTACAGAGGTTCGCAGTGGCTTTAAAGCTTTTTGCGTCTTGGTGAGCAGCAAGAAGTCCCCCCAAAATTGGTTCAGCTGCAAGGGACCACTCGCAGCGACCCTAAACTGGGGTCTTGTCAAGGAATCTAGCTTAAGCTACTCATAATCAGGAACCCATATTATTTCCTGTAGACCCTATTATGACCATAAACAGGGATCTAGAGTAAATCACATGGTCTCCTTATTGTGGTAACCTAAAGCAACTCCCTTAACAACAGCCCAGTAAACTCAGCAAACCCCTTCGGCACTTCTCGGGATCTGCTCGGAGTTACCGGTGGTTTTGGGGGGGGGGGGGGCAGGAATGGAGTCGGCGGGGCCAAACCAGGCCAGTGAGGCCCGGGGGGGGGAAGTTGGGCCTGAGTCATAGAGGGGTCGAAAGAATTGCCAATAAGATCTTTATTTTTTTTGGGGGGGGGAGGGTTCCTTGCTGTAGGTATAGTCTAATATACAAAGCCTTATTCTAACTATTGAGGCCTCTATCTTATGCCTGATTGAGGGTTGCAACCTTGGAGGGGCCTAAAGGGGAAGGTGCTGAACTCGATGAGGATTGTCGACTTGCCGGTCGGTTATGTTTCAGCTTCTTCGGGCATGTATGCCGGGACGTGATCTAGGATCACCTCACTGACACTGGTTTTTTTATGTCACGTCGCATTTTGCCGCACGTCAATCATCTGCTACACTCTACACGGTTCTCCTCCAAGAGACGTTTGGGGACATTGACAGGACATGGTGTTGCTGCAGATTCTTGCCCGCAGCTGCGGCCCAGCAAATAGGAAACCCTCTGTAGCTGGTCGTTCCATGCCGGCGATGCTTAGCCGGACAGTTCGTATTTGCCTTGCGATTTCCGTTACCCTCGCTTCAAGCTCTCGCCAAGCAGCGCTGGATGAGAGTCTCAACGGCATATCTGTGAGCATGGTCCAGGTTCGGGCTGTCTTGGACTCCCGACGCAAGAATAGATCAGTGGAGACTCACTGGCCCTACTGGTATCTTGTGGGTGCCAACCACAAGACAGGAACCGGGCTTCTCAGATCCTTGGTGGGACGAGTGTTCCTTGTGCTCGGGGCCACCTACTCCTGCCAAGTGTCGCCCCCAGCCGGTCCTTGGGGTCAACTCACCACCGACGGAATCCACAACTGCAGCGATTCCCCGGATGCGCACATCCGCTTCGCTAAGGACATCGCGCCCAACGACCTTACGACGGTCCGGCACCTCGCAGCGTCTGCTGGTGGGGAAATGCGTGCCGTGATGACGATCCGGGATCCTGCCGCCATGCTGGCATCTGCATACTGCTATCACCACCGTGGCATGGAGTACGGCTTGCAGCCTGCTCCCAATCGGAAACCTTGGCCATGGCCTGGTATCATGTCGATGGGTCCTGCTGAGGGAATGGAGGCCCTCTCAGATGGCATGTTCGGAGTGATCGAAAGCATGACAGAAGCAGCGGAGATCGCTGATGTCAGTGACACGCTGGTCCTACGCTTTGAAGATATCACACGGTCCTCAGAGGACTTCGACCGTTCGACAGCAGCCATTGTGGACTTCTTCTTTCAGGACTTTTTCTTGCAGGGGGTGCTCCCTGCCGAGTTACGGAGCCAAATGCTGCTGGAGGCTCAAGCAGCGGATCTGCACCGGACGAGTGTGGACGAAGGTGCGCCAGGTGAAGCGCCTCACTCTAACGATAAAGACTGCGAGGAGACAGCGATGACCATTCTGCCTTCGCTTTCGGGCGTCTATGCTCAGATCCAGGACGCAGAAGCCATGTTGACGAGTTCACTCTGCTTGCATACCTCCGTAACTGCTTAAGCTCTCCCGAGTGTAGGTGCATGTCTGTCCCTAGCTGGTAGAAAGCTGTTGTCGTCGCATGTGGTCGCATGTGGGGCCTCATTCTCTCAGGAGTACCAGCGCCGCTTGGGGTACTTGGGAGCTATCTGAGGATTGATTCAAACCCACTTCTGATATGCCGGATGACGAAGACACATTTCCATGTATGTACAGCCCATCCGAGCTTCGAGCCCGTTTCACGATTCAAGAAGGCGAGACCGGTCAGAGCCAGCTCCCAGAACATGCTCGTCTACTTGCAGATGTCATGAGCTACCTGCCTCCAGGCGCGGCAATTCGTGGACTTACTCATCAAGCCGCCGACAGCCCGCATGAGGCAGATCCAATAGCTGAATAGCTCTTCTAGCACATCCCAGAGTATTGAGGCATCATTTCGAGAGACGTCGTGCTCACCAGTCAAGAAGACTAGGCCGCTTCTCCCCATCGCAATCTTGCTGATGTCAGGCATGGGCAGATTCGGCACCACCCGCTGCTCCTGCCGCATCCTGGCAAAATGAACAAGTCGGAGCAAGCCCAGCCCTTTTGCATGATGCCACCGCCTGTTGTACTCTGTTTGTGGTCCTGGCGATATGATGATAGTGATGATGAGTGATGTAGGTGCAGATTCCCAGGAGGTGGAAACAAGGTCGCGCCGACACATGCAAGCAGTGATGCCGTGGGTGCCATGTTGTGATGTTGTGATCGATGGTGATGGAAATGGTGATGAAATGGTACTGGTATGTACTGGTGCTAAGGAGGCAGATACTGGTGGTCATGACGGCAGTAGTGGTGTTAGTGGCAAGGATTATGGACTGTGAGAGCGACTGTACTTGAAAGCTGCCTGAGACGCTCGATCGGCTGCATTTTTGGTCGCTCTTAGTGGGTTGAGGTGGAAGCCCAGCCTAAGCTGGTAGGTTACTCTGCCATCCTCAGCCCCAGGATCCACTTGCCGGAGTTTGCTGCCGCGCCCCACCAGGCAAAGAAATACCCTGGGCCTGAGTCCTTCTCCTCATCTTAGCTCTTCAAGCTGGGTAGTCTTTTTGTAAGGGTGCCGTACTATATTGGGGACCTAAAAAGGGACCCTAATGTAGGGAACTACCCATCTGATGTCAGTTTCTTCGTGTCCGCCTCGTTCAGAGCCAGCCCCCCCCCCAAAAAAAAAAA